ATTAGTGACTCATGAGTTGCTAATTGACATGAGCAAAGGAGCGCCATGGATAAAACCAACACAAAAGACGGTCAAGGCATAATATATATATGTGGGTGTGTATTATATTTTGTGTAACGAAAACGATGTTTAAATAAACAAAAACAAATTAGGGTTTATCTTATTAGGGTTTTGATTTGGACATCGAAAATTTTAAACAACTGGAAAGAAATTTAAGGAGATGAGGAGGAGGATATTTTAGAGTTGTAGTCAGCCATCAAACTTCAACTTCGTCAATTGGATTTGCAATCAGGGTTTGTCTGGTATATATTAGTTTTGTTAATTACAAATTTGCAGGGTTTTTTAACAACACAAACAAACTTATTGTAATGTTACTTTTGAACAGATGATCTGCCCTACAAACGCAAGGTCCAAAAGCGATTTCTTGGACCGAAAATCTTTAAAATGTTCTACATGAATTTAAGAAGCTTAGGTTGAGGCGACAATAATACGGAAATTAATATGTTTTATGATGGTCGAAATAGTTTTTGGACCGAAAATCTTTAAAATGTTTTACGTGAATGTTAAGCTTAGGTTGAGGTGACAATAACACGGAAATATGTTTCATGATAGCTTTTGCAGAAACTTCTAAAACTAACTAAAAATCGTGGGTTATAAGCTCACAATTTTTTTTCAGTAATGCGACTGTTGAGTTTTTATAAGATTTGTTGTGTGGGCATTAAGATAAATTACTAGCTAAGACATGTTCAAGAGACGAAAATTATCAAGTGTCTTGCATGAATCTTAAGAAGCTTATGGTTAGGCAGAAAAGACGGAATACACAGTCCCATTCTCCTAAACTCAATTTTACATTAAATTTATCAAACGGTGAAGATGAAGGGTCACACTACATTATACACAGTTTCATTCTCCTAAATTTTATTGTCCACAAAAATTATGGTCACCACTGTTCGATTTTAATCCAATGATGGTAAAGTATGATAATAAAAATTGAATGACCACCTAGTATTGGATTAAGATCTTACGGTAAGTGACCACTATTTTATTAGACAATATGGGGTCTAGGAAAATGGGACTCACATTATACAAGTGTTGTATTCAGCCCGAGCGACGTGGCAGATTTTCTTGTGGACTCGGCCAGATGGCGTAGCACATCTTGATTAAACAAAATAGAAATGCTGTCCACCCGGCCCATCTTAATCTGTGTATTAGGCCCAAGTAAAAATTGGTAGGCCCATCAGATGCCGGTCCAGCCCACGAAGTTGTTTTACTTCCTTTCTTTATGGGGGATGTATTTGTATATTCTCTGTGTAGCAATATATGCCGTTGCACCATTTTTTACACAACCTTTAATATGAGTTTGTTGGGGCTTACTCGTAATATATTTTAACGATCCAAATCGTTTATTTTTTAGAATATTATTCATAGATCTTCATTGCAAAAAATTAGACAAATCCAAAACTATTAAAACATTCATTTGTAGTGAAGAAAATGAACGAGTACGGTTTTACAAGGAAAACTTAAACTCTTAATCCAATAGCCATATGATTTCAGATTTGGGTGAGACATGATCTTTAAGGGAAAACCTAAAAGATAGACATTTCAGATCGTTGAAATACATTATAAAATGAATCTCACGAAAACTTGTGTAAAAAAAAAATGGTGTCACGAATTCATACTCTTTATATATATATATATATATATATATATATATATATATATATTATGTTCGTAATTCAAGAATATATTATGCTGGTTAATTATGTGGTTTGCTTGTCACCTACATGTGTGACAATAATTGATAAAAGTTGGCTAGTGATTTAACACTAATCTGCATTCCTTTTGTCAGTGTATGAAATAGTACAATATAGTTTGAAGTAATAAATAATTAAAAGAGAAGTGTTAAAATTGCTATTACAAATTTTTAGTGTGATGTCGTTTGTTTCTTCATATTGATCTTCCTAAATTCTTGTGATTAATTAGTTAAGCTTTGTTTAAGGTACTTAAAGAAAGAAAAATGATATACATGAAATTGTGAAACAAGAAATAATACATGGCAACCTACATCTGCATGTCCCTCATCTGTCTTCCATCGATCCCATCTCCGTTTCGATCTGCAGTTACTATTGACTACGGTTTGTTGCGGTCCACCAACGGGAAGGTGTGTAGAATTTTGGTGTTCAAACTAGTTTGGGTAGCCACACCATCACATTCTCTCTGTCTACCTTTTCTAGCAGTGTTGCTTGTGGTAATCCTATAGACTTCTTTAGTTTTTCTCACTTGGTGGTCGCAATCTACGAGATACTATCTGATGGAGGACGGAGTCTGTTAAGCCCATTTACTGGAGCCCACTACTTCCCTCCTTGCAACCGGCCCATATCAGTCCCTTTATCCTCATAACTAAGTAACTAGGGTTCTCCCTTACCAGGAGTATAAATATGTAATAGAGAGGAAGAACAGGATATGAATGAAATGAATTAAACTGCCTCTTTTCCTCAAAACTCTCTGTTTCCTTCTTGCTCTTCCTATTTCCTGCACTATTTCCTGTTCAAGTTACCATTCTAGCTAATCTGAGCCGATTGGGTGTACCAATTGGTATCAGAGCCCGTCGACCGATGGGCAAAAACACGTAAGCCGCTAGCTCTGATCTCGATGTTGTGGCCGCGGCGGTGGACGTTTGTCACGAACAACTCTGTAACCAAGTTGAGGATGTCTGCGACACCATCACCCTCTTGGAATCCCAACAAGCTTCTTTCCAGAAATCTCTTGACCTCCTCAACAACTCCAACACTGCCTTCCAAACCACCATGACCTCCCAGTTCGCTTCATTCCAGACATTACTTCTAGACGAGCTCCGCCACCTCAAATCAGCCGTCCCACCTTCACCCACCCCATCCTCCACTCTCCCACCCACCCCCACCGCTACACCCACCCCTATCTGTGCCTCTCCACCCAATCTCCAACCCTCATTCCGCTCCCTCTTTCCTCCACTAACCACATCCTACACGGGTTTGGGTCTATCTCACCCACCCACTTTACAACCCATCCCTACTTACACCCCATCCACCCGGCCCACTACAACCCATACCACCATCACACCCAGGCCCATTAACCAACCTCAAACCCACCAAACCTCCTCTTCAAACTTTTCACCTCACCCTTACACACCCGGGCATTCCTTCTCCCACTCATTCCATCTCGCACCCACCCCTCATTCTCCTACTCATACCCACCCGCCATCTTATACGGCCCAACCCCCTGGCCCTACCTTCAAACCCATTAAATTGGACCTCCCTCGTTTCAATGGAGAAGACCCATACGGTTGGTTGGCCATGGCCGAAAGATATCTCGACTATTACGAGGTTCCCCCCCACTAATGGGTCCTTGTAGCAGCCTGTAACTTTGGTGCAGATGCCTCAATTTGGATGCGGGGTTTTGAACAAAGACATGGCCGCGAAAATTGGGGCCTCTTTGTGGATGTGTTGCTCCAACGTTTTGGTGGGGGCGATCGCGCAAACATTGAGTCCCGGCTTACTCACATTCAACAAAAGACTACTGTGGATGATTATCTAGCTGAATTCACCAGGCTTTCTTGCAGGGTAACAGATTGGACGGAAAACCAATTAAAACATGTATTCGTGGGTGGCCTAAAGGAGGACATCCGTCATGATGTCCTTGCTCTCGAACCCGAATCCCTTCATCAAGCCTAGAAACTAGCCAAAATTTTTGAAACTAAACTGCAAGCTCAACGTTCAACCCGTCCCTATTTTCCCCGGTCTTACACAACACATCACCCCACTCCCAATTCCTCTTTGCCCAACCCAACACCACCATTACATACAAAACCAACCTCCCAGCCCCATACCACCATTAAACGCTTAACACCAGCCGAAGTGCAGGACAAAAGACGAAAAAACGAATGTTTTGGTTGTCATGAACAATATTCTCCCACCCACAAATGCAAAACACCACTGCTCATTTTGCTTGAACCTACTCTGCCTGAGGAAGATCCTCCAGAATTCCACGATTGCAGCGACGAACCCTCCAGTCGAGGATAATACTTGTCATATGCTGGAACTGTTCTCTCTTCCGGGTATTAATATTGGACGACCCATGCGACTGACAGGCTATATTTCATCAAAGCCTATCACCGTGTTGATCGACTCCAGAGCCGCGTGCAACCTTTTGCATCCCCACATTGCTGAACAGTTAGGCCTCCATGTGGAGTCCATTACTCTTGTGAAGTTCACAACCGCATCCCATGATCGATACTCCTCGTTACTGATGTGACTATCAAAATACAAGATTATACTTTGCACGGACCCTTCCTCTTACTGGATGTCCCGGGATGTGACCTCATATTGGGTGCCGAATGGTTGGAATCCCTGGGCTTTATTGGTTGGCATTTCAAGCAGAAAACAATGATATTCTCTGTGGACGACAAAACTTACACATTCCAAGGCCTGACACCCTCCGCATCCTTATTTCCTCCATGTCACATGGTGGATCAATTACTACACAATCTTTGCTCTCTCCTCGCTTCCATTGCTTCCACCGATACTACCCTTACCCCACCTACAGATACTCATCCCGCCATTCTCTCCCTCATCCACCAATACCAGCACTTATTCACCACCCCATCAGGTCTTCCACGTGAACGCTCCATCGACCACAAAATACCCCTTCTGCCTCATACTAACCCCATCAACGTTCGCCCCTACCGCTATCCCCACTACCAAAAAATTGAGATTGAAAAACAAGTGCGGGAATTTTTGACTTCAGGTGTCATCCGACCCAGCTCCAGCCCCTTTTCCTCCCCGGTCCTTCTTGTTAAGAAGAAAGACGACACTTGGCGCTTGTGTATTGATTATCGCGCCTTGAATGCTGCAACTATAAAGGATCGCTTCCCTATACCAATAGTGGATGAACTTCTTGATGAATTGTCGGGCGCCACCATATTTTCAAAATTGGACCTCCGGTCCGGTTACCACCAAATTTGAATGAGTATTGAGGACATTGCCAAGACTGCTTTTCGCACCCACGACGGCCACTACGAATTCACGGTAATGCCTTTTGGCTTATCCAATGCACCTGCAACCTTCCAATCCTTAATGAATTCGATTTTCCGTCCGTACTTACGGAAATTTATTTTGGTCTTTTTTGATGATATATTAGTCTATAGTCCTTCCCTTGCTACTCACTTCTCCCATTTGGAGACAATTTTTGAACTTTGTCTAAGCACAGCTTGAAGGTGAAACTGAGCAAGTGCTCATTTGGCCAAGATCAAATTGCTTATTTGGGGCATACCATCTCTGGCAAGGGAGTTGCTGTGGATCCCTCTAAAATAAAGGCTATCAAGGACTGGCCCCGACCAACATCTCTCAAAGGCCTGCGTGGTTTCCTCGGTTTAACCGGTTACTACAGAAAACTTTTCAAGCATTACGGCCTACTTGCCAAACCACTAACCAACATGTTGAAACAAGGCAGCTTTTCGTGGTCAACTGACTCCCTTAAGGCATTCGAAGCTTTAAAGCAGGTGCTATCCACAACATCGGTGCTCGCCCTCCCAGATTTTACAAAGCCATTCGTCGTTGAAACTGATGCATCAGGCAATGGAATTGGAGCTATTTTAAGCCAAGAGGGGCACCCCATTGCTTACTTAAGCAAATCACTTTCCGGCCGTACACTTCAGCTCTTCACTTATGACAAAGAGATGTTAGCAATCGTCTTTGCTGTGCAACACTGGTGCCATTATCTTTTGGGACAACATTTTCGCATTATCACAGACCATCAACCCCTCAAACATTTTTTGGAGCAGCGCATAACAACCCCTCAACAGCAAAAATGGTTAGTGAAATTACTGGGGTATAACTACTCGGTTGAGTATAAACCCAGTCCTCAAAATAGTGCACCAGATGCTTTATCGAGACAACAGGACCTACTGCCGTTAATGGGGCTGTCCACACCTATTTTTGATTGCATACCGCAATTACAACAGTCCTATCCACAAGATCCACAAGTGCAAGAAATCTGGCCTCTTTTATCCCGCGCACCCACCACTACAATCAAATGTTTCTCCTTTCTCCCTTCTCAATGATGTGCTGCACTACAAACAACGAATCTTTGTCCACTCACATCCCACTGGCGCCCTAAACTTTTGGAAGAATTCCATGCCTCTCTTCAAAGGGGTCACTCCGGATTCCTTCGAACTTACAAAAGGCTCTCCAGAAAATTTTTATGGCCCGGTATACGGAAGGACATCAAAACCTTTGTGGCTGAATGCACAGAATGTCAGCGCCAAAACATCGAATATATACACCCCCCTGGGTTGCTGCAGCCCCTGCCCATTCCCACTGGTGTCTGGCAAGATATATCTCTCGATTTCATCGAAGGCCTGCCCCTCTCCAACGGGTACACAGTCACCCTTGTGGTGGTCGACCGTTTATCCAAACATGGCAATTTTATCCCCCTGAAACACCCATACACTGCAGCCTCTATCGCAGACACTTTCATCAAAGAAGTCTTCATCCTACACGGCATGCCTAAGTCGATTGTGTCTGATCGTGATCCCATTTTCATCAGCAATTTTTGGCAAGAGTTTTTTAAACTCCAAGGCAGCAAACTGTGCCCAAGTTCAGCTTACCAACCTCAAACAGATGGCCAAACCGAGGTTCTCAACCGCACATTGGAACATTATCTTCGTTGCTTCTCCACTGACAAACCCTCCAACTGGTCTTCTCTTTTTCCCTGGGCAGAATGGTGGTATAACACCACGTTCCAATCGGCCATAAAAATGTCTCCATACCAGGCTGTTTACGGTATTGAACCACCATCTATCCGCATGTATATGCCCGGCTCCACTGCGGTTCACTCCGTTGATGCTGCACTCCAAGACAGAGATATGTTACTACGTCTGCTGCGCACAAACTTGCAGATGGCACAAAACAAAATGCGGCAGGTTTATGATCAAAAGCGAACCGAGCGGGAATTTAGCGTTGGCGATTGGGTTTATCTCAAGCTCCAACCATATCGCCAACAATCAGTAGCTACAAGATCAGCTAACAAATTGGCACCCAAGTTCTATGGACCTTTCCAAGTTACTCACCGCATCGGGTCCGTTGCTTATTGCCTTCTCCTACCTTCAGATTCCAAGATCCATCTGGTCTTTCACGTGTCTTTCCTCAAGCAGAAGATTGGGGATGCTGCTACGCCACTTCCACAATTGCCTCTTATCGACTCCACAGGATTCCTCCACTGGCAGCCAGAAAAAGTCCTCGACAGAGGCATTTTCAAGAAGAAAAACAAACCTGTGACCAAATGGCTCATACAGTGGGCTGGCCTACCCGCGGAAGACGCTACCTGGGAGGTGGCCGACAACATCTTGGCCCGTTACCTCGACTTCCAGGCCTGAGGACAGGCCTGTTTTCAAGGGCAGGGGAGTTGTTAAGCCCATTTACTGGAGCCCACTACTTCCCTCCTTGCAACCGGCCCATATCAGTCCCTTTATCCTCATGACTAAGTAACTAGGGTTCTCCCTTACCAGGAGTATAAATATGTAATAGAGAGGAAGAACATGATATGAATGAAATGAATTAAACTGCCTCTTTTCCTCAAAACTCTCTGTTTCCTTCTTGCTCTTCCTATTTCCTGCACTATTTCCTGTTCAAGTTACCATTCTAGCTAATCTGAGCCGATTGGGTGTACCAGAGTCTGTTTTCTTTCCATCTATGAGGTGTTTTTATTGGGTTCCTAGTAATTGTTGGTGGTGGTAGTTCAAGCTCGTTGTGGAGTGCCGTTGTGGCGCTTTAGGCGACGGCGGTGGGAGGAAGCAACTAGGGTTTTCTTCGGTGTGTTTTATATTTTGGGTTCTTCGGTTACTATGTAGTGGTTATTGTATTTGAACCTCTTATGTAATTATGTTGTGTTTTGGTAATAAAGTAACTTTTGACCAAAGAAGAAAGAAGTAATAATGAGAGTGTATAATTGCATACAAGCTTTGGACCAAAAGGCAGTATTCGTACCAAAACCCTAATTTAAAAAAAGAAAAAAAATCCAAAATCGGATCAGCTAAGATGCCCACTAGAGCAAGCAAATTGGAGAATCGCAACGAAAGTAGGAAAGTGTGGCCCCAAACTATATATAAAAATACAATGTGTATTTTTTAGAGGTTCACTTAGCTTTTAGCTTCAATTGACTCTAAAAATTCAGGACCGACCTTGATGATCTCACATAACGAGTTGATTGAAAGAAACGTATATTCTATCCCCACCAAGTTCCCAAAATGATGACGCAACGATGATGATTGTGCCGGAAAAGTAAGAAATATTAGAATTAGGGTTGTCAAGCTTAATTAGTTTGAAGATACGAGAGCCATGAGTGTGTCTTTATCCTTGTACTTTTATTGCATGATCTGCCTGCTGATCGACCAGATTTGAGAGTTGGTAAATATGTTCATTGAACAAGGACCACAAATGTTCATGTTCTCTAAACAATGGTTTCACGCTGCAAAATAGTACGGCAAGAAGCAGAAACATTGGTTTAAGTTTGAAACTCTAAAAGCAGCACTTTTTTGCCACTAGCGGTAACCATGGTACGAACATGTATTACAAATATGTGGTGGTAATATGATATTGGCCTGGAATGGGAATGGGATATATTCTTTTGACATTGTTAAATTTTAATTTTCAAAAAGAATTTATGTACGAATATGCATCCTTATTAAAGGGTTGCAGCCTTATTAAATTTTATCTTTTGTTATCACCATCCGATATCTTCTATATCCTAAAAGAATTGATATAAGTATAAATTAAAGAAGAAGTACATGCAACTGTGAGGTTAGAAATCTTTATAAGGAGCTGAACTACTTCCCATGTTTCAGAGATAAATTAGTGATATAAGTGAATCCTTTATAAAGAGCTAAAACTTTTAAAATGGTTGAAATGAACTAAACTTTAATAAAAATACAAGTGAACCAACCTTTATAAAGAGTTGAGCTACAATTCCCACATATTACAGATAAATTAACAATATTAATTGGAGTAGGATTCTCTCGTCTCTTTTTTCCCCTCCCATTCCCTTCCCTCGTATTTGAACGGTTACGATTAAGTCACGTCAACATCTTATATTAATTTTTTATAACAAGAGAAAGACAAAATAAGAGAATGTGAGAGGAGAGGATGGAAGGGGATGAAAAAATGAGGCGAGAGAATCCTAGTCCATATTAATTTGTAGGGTACATTGGAAGCTAAGACTTGCACGATATATATAAACCCTTTCACAGATAAATGTCATTTCTTAGTTTTTTTATGTCTGAACCTTCTTTATGTCTGGCTCTAATATATGTATAAAATGCCCAATTTGGCAAGTTTATTGTTTTCATCTTCAGACAGGCATCAGCTCATCTATAAATTTATTACTGTAATCCCCTTTAAGAAGTGTGACTGCATAGATTAAGAGTATAAATGCCTATGACTTTTATTAGACTACATAACAACCAAACCAATATAAAATTTTCCTGCATAGATCAACGGGTTTGTGTTGTCCTTGACTGCACATGTTTTTCCATTCATAGGCTACTTAAATTTAATTAATTGAGCATTATAACTTGATGTTGATCTTCAACATATTCATATGAGTACTGGTGTCATACATGTTTCTTCCTGATGATTTGTTGAGGATCATTTAAAAACACTAATACATATATGCTAGAAAGAAATTAAATTCATATGATTACAGACAACTTGCTCAATATTATTATTTAATGTTTATTATAATTTAACAAAACGAATCAAATTTCATTGCAAATAACTGTAGCGTCGAATAAACTTCACAACTCTCTTTTAAGTTGTCTCCTTTTTTGTTCTTTCTAAACGAGTCTTTGGTTTTTGTGACGTATAAGCATCTATACTTATCGCTTAGTTGCATACTTAAAAGAAACTTAGTTATAAAATGAAAATCTAATTAGCTAATTGAACCTTTGCGAATAAATTATATATGTCATTTCACAAGGGTGGGAGTGGGGAGATTTCATCATTAAGCATAATAATCAAGATTAGGACATGTGAATTAATTTGCACCAAGTGAAATTGTATCCACCCTAAACCCTAGCTAGATCAAACTGCCACGTGCCAATCCCTACATAACCTAACAATAACAGTGCTCCTATTTGGCAAACGATTCATCATTGCATTTCGCAAATCAATCCAGGATTCCTGGACCTGGCTGTCACCTTGAAAAGTTGATTAGAGTACTATGCTGTTGTTAGAGTGACTTAATCTCATGTAAGAACCTTAGATTTAGCAGTAGGTAATCAAACACTAGGGTTTATAATATATAATTCGATCATAAAACTAATTAGTAATATGAGAAATAGCTCAACTTATTCATAAATTCATGTAAAGTCCAACCTCTCATCAATGCGAGATTCATTCTCAACACATTTCCTTATGTGTAGCGAATTTTCAAGCCTAACATGTGAACAACGCAAATTATGTAACGTTGAGCACTTGTGGCCGTTGCTCTGATATTGTGAAGAAAGTTGAAGTTCAAACATAAAACGAATTGGCAATCTGGAGACCAATCTAATTTACTTGTAAGTTCATGTAAGGTTTTTCATTTTATCAATGTGTGATTCAGTCTCAATACATTCCTTTTAGGTTTTAATTGGTTTGAACCTGCAGTGCAACAAGTACACGTGCATGCCTTTTGTCCACAAATTCAAATTCAGTTCATTATTTGAGATTAATTAGTTATTAATCTTATTGAGCTTTAATCAAAACAGATAGTCGAAAGACCAGGGGGGACAATTTTCTCCATAGTTATATGTTTGAGTCTTTCTCCTTTCCAAAGCTTTTACGTAGGAGTACTTAGCTTCCACAAAAAAAAAAAAAAACCTCTACACACAGTAATCCAAGGAGAGATTTTTGATGCACCGGAACACAATCACTTAGTGTTATTATTTTACTTAAATGATGACACGTATATATATTTTTATTATTGTTAATGTACTCTAAAAGTTTGATAAAAAATTTACTATAAAATTATGATATATATCAACTATATCGCTTATATTATAACACGAGAACTAATATCATATAACAAGTGTTCTTAGTACAAATAAACATTTCTACTTGAAAGGGAGAGAGAGAGAGAGAGAGAATAAACAATTAAGAAGCCAATTATACCAACATAGAGAATTGCCCGTTGTGCTGACCAGTATTTGTCAGGCATGCCACGTCATCATATCATATGATATGGTGCATATGTACATAAGTATGCATGTATGGACATCTAAGGTTCTATATAAAGCAGCTTAATTAAGTAATTAGCAAGTGAGAGAAGAGCTAGGTCGCGACGTGTCTGTGTTTGAGAGGATCAAAATTTCATAACATAGAGATGGTTGATAATATAGGAAACAATAATTCATCGGATAGAGAAGGGTTTAAGTACAATTTCACAGGTGGTGGTAGTGTCTCTAGTGATTATCACCACCATCTTCATCATCAAGAGGGGGTCATCAAGGAGCCAGATCGGTTGCTTCCAATTGCTAATGTTGGGCGAATCATGAAGCAGAATTTGCCCCCGAATGCGAAAATCTCGAAAGAAGCCAAAGAAACCATGCAAGAATGTGTTTCTGAGTTCATAAGTTTCGTGACTGGAGAAGCATCTGACAAGTGCCACAAAGAGAAGCGCAAGACGGTGAATGGGGATGACATTTGCTGGGCTCTGGCAACCCTTGGATTCGATGATTACGCTGAGCCACTGAAGAGGTACTTGCATAGGTACAGAGAATTGGAAGGAGAGAAGGCTGCTAACCAAGGTAAGGCTAATAGTAATGAAGAACAAACTGCCACCAAGGACAAGATTTCCTACAGCAGCAGCAAATACCTCTAATCCTCCATCGAAGTACAACATGATGGAAAGGGGAAATAGCTCGCTCTCTCCCGGCAATTTTGAGTACTGATCATATGAATTTAGCGAGGTAATTAATATACCTTTCAAATAGTTAGTACTACTAGATCTTAATTAAATTGCATGTGTTGAAGGTACATGACTATATATAATTAAGTGGGGAGTTAGGTTTTTGGTTTTGGTTTTTGTTTTCATGTGTGCTCTCATAATTAAGTCCTGGGGATCCTTCTTTGGTTGACTGTAATTAGCTTAAGAATTATGAGATTGGAGTTAATCCATTGACTTTTTTTGTCTTTTAATTCAAATATGAAGTTTACTGCAGGTGATTGTATGAGATATACATGTTGAACTGCGTTCCTAGTTAGCTTAGTTTTCTAAATCGCGATCAGTAACTTGTTGTAAACAGGTTATCTTGCTAATCTTCCCTTTCAATTTTGTCCTCAACCTAAATTCAAGCGGAGGGTTAGTGATGGGATCTGGATATACTTTTCCCCTAATTTA